GGAAGAGAAAACATGTAAAAATGCGCAGGCTGTAGAAGTTGAGCTGGAAAACACAGGCTCTTTGTACTCACATGCTCAGTTACTACTGGTGCACTTGTGGCTGCTAAATGTTAAAACCGGTGGTTTCAAAAACCATTGGACTGAATTTTGAAGATCTGCCATGACAGTGTTTTACTTTAAAGCAAAAACATGATTGACAACAACGGCGTGTAAGGTTGTGACCTATGACCAGGACTGTCCTAAAGTCTGTCATCCTGGAACCAAGACAACATGATCTGGCAGCTTGAGTCGTAACCTGCTGAATTTCTTGCTGAGAGCTTTGCTGAGAGACACCTAACTTTTGAGTAGCAAGAGCCTCCACTCCCAGCTCTGGGAGTACAGTTTACTAAATCGCATTTAATAGTGGGCTTTTCTTGCCTTCAAAGTCTTGCAAAGACTTTTTTTTTTTCATAAAACACACTTGCAGTAGGAGAACATACCTGTAATATGTAATTACTTAACCCCCGTTCGAAGGGTAAAAGGTTTTATTTTTGAATGGGCGCGCTGTGCAGTAAGGGTGGCCAGCAGCCCAGGTGCCCCTGCCTCGGGCCTGCTAGTTGTCTGCTTTCGGCTAGAACCCCTGGAAACTACGGGTCACAGCACACACTGTTTTTTCTTGTCCCGTAGTCTTTGTTAGCCCTTTTTGTTTTAGGGATGAGAAGGGCTACATTTGGGGTTTCTTCGCCTGAGGTAGGTGTGATCCTTCCTGAGGGAAAACGGAGGTGCCTTGCTGAAAGCTGTGGGGTCAGGGCCCCCCCACGCACTGTTATGTTCCTGGAAGAAGTTTAGTGCTCCCTTCTTGTCCCCCTTCAGCGCAGCTGAGTGATTAAGATGACGAGTGGTGCAAAGACTGCCAAAACAGGGTGGGGTGATGATTACATGCATATGTGCAGAGCTGAAATTATCAGGAAGCTTAATTGAATAGATGCTTACATTGCAGCGCGAGTTGGGGCAGACGGCAATTGATAACTTGGCATGATGTTTGATTTCATTCTCTCTGCTGCTTTGTGCTAATGGTGTGGATTTGCATAATCATTATGGATAATATATAGTTTTATGGAGGGGGGAAAAATAGACATGGAAAAATCATGACTCCTGATCGTGGGTATGTTGCAATGAACCTTGACAGCACCTTGAGATAACTTATGCAGCCATCTCTTGTAAGATGCTGATTATTATGTTCCCTAAAGTCTTTGAAGTCACTCTTTCAGGAAGCAGAGGAAGATATTTGTAAGAGATTTGAACTAGGAAGGTGGCCACTTTTCCCTCCGTAACTTTCAAATGCTTACTGATCTCTGAAGTGTCACTCTTGATGTCTTTTTTTCTGAATTTTACGGGGTTTTATTGTTACAGATAAAGAAAAAAAAACCCCAAACCCCTCCTACTAGTTTTGTCTCTTGACCTGTAACAATTTAGTGGTGATTAGACATTGTTAAACTGCTGCCTTCAGTAATGCTGTCTGTGTAGTCTGTGAACAAATACCTGATAATAAGTTGTTTCCCTTCCTAGTTATTTTTGAACTCAAGTTGCACCATCGAAGTGTTCTCTTGGAACAGCCACTTGTCCCTGTGCAAGGCCCCGCCACCTCAGCGGGAGCACAGCTGGCAGGGGCAGGCCCCGAGCCCTCCTGTGGTTACACTGAAAAGCAGCTTGTTCATTTCAGAACCAGAATTGAGAAGGGTCAGCTTGACCACAGAAGATCAAGCTTAACTTATTTTTACTTAATTCTTGTGCCCAGCGTTGGCAGTCCAAGTACAGCACTGCATCGGCCAGCGGTGCTGGAGACAGCCCTGGTTCTGATACTCTAATCGCAAGAGACCATTGCTTCTTGCTGAGGCTCAGCAGTGTTTCTGAAATACTGATGTAAATTGTGGTCATGCACTCGGGATGCAGAAGTGTGGGCTGTATGTATACGTAAGCTCTACCTGTAATTTTCCTGGCAGCGTGGGGCAAGCTTTTACTGCTTCTGTGCTTCTGTTCCCCTTTTTCTTAAGCTGCCGCAGTGATACTCGCCTGGGTTTTAAGGTATGATAAGGGGTATCTGTGGAACAGAGATGCAAGGTGCTAGTTCTCAGAGTACAAAGATAAGATAAGGTAGGTTCATGCCCCTGGGCATGCTTTGGATACTTTGTGAGGGACACAGAAGGTTTAAGCCACCCAAGTAGGGAGTGTCAGTACTATTTTCAGATGTTCTGTTAATAAAAGCAAACAAGAAATGCTTTTTCTTATTTTAAAAACAAACAGAAAGCCTTGTGGTTTATCAGGATTCCAAGCTTCGCAAATAGTGTTTGGTGTCACCAGGGCTTACAATTTCAGCAGTTGCTCAGGCACCTGTGAACAAAGGTTTCTCACCTGCCTGACAAAGCAGCCGGCTGTAAACTCCAGTGTTAAAAAGAAATGCAAAGATTTATGCTGGAAGCAAAACGATGAAACAGCAGATCCTCTCCTTACAGTCCTTTTGTACAAAAAGATGCGAGAGAGCTCATCTTCCCCAGCATGCTGCACCTCTGATTGCCGGGGGAGCAGTGCTCGTTAACCCCAGCCGTGCCCCGCAGTGCCCTGGGGCTTCAAGGTGCACCCTGATTTCTCGGCTTCCTTTCGCTTGGGTGACAGAGGCTTCCTCTGCACTGCCCAGGGAATTCCTCTCCCCCTCACCGCTCTTCCTGTGCATCACCAGTGCTCTTCTCTCTCTGGGCAGGAAGATGTTTTCAGTGACGCTTTAAAGCATTGTATTTAATACAAAAATACTGTATTTTGGCAGATACGGTTCTCATGAAGCAAGATTCCACAGTGAGATCTGATGTTTAGTGGTGGTAGTTTCCTGGTGGGCTGTTGAGAGCTAGTAGAGGCATTGCCTGTTAAGATGATCTTTCTATTTCCAGGGCGTGTTAAAATGTTAAGATAAGCTAAGTATTTCACTGAGCAGCCTCTTTGATACGTGTAGTGTCTATATGTGCCGTATTGTTCTATGCAGTTGTTAACAAAGTGGTTAGAGGAACAGCATGTAAGAAGAGGGGTCCGCAGGACTTTTCTTTTAAAACAGCAACTTTTTTCACTCACGCTTTCACCTTATTAGTAAGTGTTATGATTGCACACACACACACCCCTTTATATATGCTAGGGAAAATACGGATAATAGGTCTGCGTCATGTCCCGTCCCATCCCGCCTCAAACATACACCTCCCAGCTCTCATTTTCATGTTCTTTCTTTTGGGGTCTGACTCTAAGGCTCTGTAACAGCAATATTTTGAGCTTGTCCGGAGAGGAGATGTTCCACTGATGTATTCTTATGCATTTTGGGTAACTTATCAGATCAATTACAGGAGGTACTCCCAGCTGCTTCTAGGCTTTAATGCATTCTTTGGCTTTTGTTCAGCAGTTAATATGCTGAAGGATTAGTAAGAAGCTACTGTTATGCAAAGCAGGACTCAAACATTCTCGCCTCAGTCTTGTTGAGGCATCGGAACTGTACAGAAATTCAGATGAGGAACTGAAGATCCGTGTTGAAAACAAGTGCATTATGTTTAGAAAAAGAGCGGGTAGCTGAGTTTTCCGTCAGGTGCAGTCACAACAGAAGAGGTGATGATGGACTGAAAGGGTTCCTCTGAGGGAGGCTGGTGATGCGTATTATGATGAACAGGACTAATCGCTACGTCGAAGTGAAGCGCTGATTTCAGTGGGGTTTCTGGAAGTCTCTCTGTTACATGAAGGGTGAACGTACTCTTCTGCGGATGTGGTAGAAGTGGCTTGGTAGAAACATGTATTGAAAGAAGTGTCATTAAACGCTGTTTTCTGTGAGCAGAGCAGGTGAGGTCAGTATTAAGCGTCCTATTTTGTGGTGAGAACAGCAGCATCAATTTCGTGGTTTTGGTACGTTGTTATTTTTAATTTTGCCTTTCTGGAATTGCAACCACTATGCTTTCTTTTTCCACTCAGACAAATTAGAAGCCTCTAGATGCACTGATGTAATGTTCTTGAAATCTATCACTGTGGATCTGGGAGCCACTCTGGTGCGAAGATGAGTCAGTTCAAGGCCTGTGTGTGCGTGCGCTCTTGTTTTCAGGATTTGAACTTGATTTCCTAGTGAATTAATTTACATACAATTTAGAACTGTAATAAGGAATTGAGCACAACATTCACATATAGAAAAAAATCTACTGCATGCTGATTATTTATAGTTGGGAAGAAAAGTTGTGAACGTAACTTTTGTTCAGCACTTTCAGCAGGAACCCAGGTTAGGGCTCCAGCAGCCAAGGCTGTTGATTTCAGCTTGAAACAAGGTGCAGAAACTGCTGTTTCCTTCCCGGTTTAAGGTCAAGTATACCAAAATCACTGCTGTTTAGTTGCTTGTTTAGTCTGACGGTGTGTTTAAATAATAATTATTAGATGAAGCAGAGAGTCTCTCCTCTATTTTGATACTAGTTACAAATGAGAAACATACCGCATTATTACAGCCTTCCCTTCTGTAAAAACACTGGATGCTCTTTGTAGATTTGCTTTCTTAGTTCATGGTACTAATTGCTGCCCCAGACTTCATGCTAAGAGTGAGTGACCTTAGCTATCTGTTGCAGCGTTAATGTAGCTGTGGGGTCCTAGAGCATCCTTGCTTTGTTCCAAATCTCTGTAGGCCTGAGTATAGGACCAAGTACTCAGAATTAAGTGTGATAGAGATGTACCGTACTGCAAAAGTATAAATCCACTCACATAGGCTGGTGCCCTTGAAGGGCTCATTTGGGGCAGTTGGGCTGTAATGTTAGGTCTCTGAAACTGGCTATTTAAGGAAGTCTTTTAGAGCATCATAATCAGCTGGAACTTAAATCATAGAATATCTCAAGCTGGAAGAGACCCATAAGGATCATCGAGTCCAGCTCCCTAATGTAGCTGTCAATTTAACAGCATCAAGGAAGGAATGCTAGAATCCTTCCTTTCGTTGATTATTCTTCCCAGCCAGGAGCTTGGATATGCAGGTAGGAACTTACCACAGTCAGTATCGTTACAGCACAATTCAAGCCACAGTTTCTTTAATAAAATACATTCTGCGCGCTGGCCTTTAGCATATTGCGCTGCACTGTTACTTAAGCTATTAAGAAGCTAGTAAATGATGGCACAGTTTGTACGTGGAGAATATTAAGTGCAAAGTGCGGTGATTCATGCTGTAGGCTTATTTCTGTCTTCTGATCTTCAGTATCTGTTATCTTCTGCAGTGTGTACCTGGGAGCTTGGAGGATCCAAAAACCGTGACACATCATAAGTTGATACATGCTACTTCTGAGAAGGTGCTGACAGACACAAAAACAGTGTTGGAGGAAAACATTCAAGATAGAGGTAAGATTGTCTGGTTTTTAATCCTATCAGCCTGGAAACGTGAGATTGTGTTTAACTATTTGGCGAGCTTCAAACGGTAACCTTTTTAATATCTACTCTCTGCTTTGACGTAGGAAACTATTAAGGTGGCAAAAAAGTAAGAGGAAAAAATACTTCCCACCACCACCCCGAGAAAGCACCTTGAGCAGTTTGCTTTTCTTCACTCTTCCTTTTAAGAGTTGAAAGGAATTAGGAGTGTTCAGGGTGTTCATTATCTTGATAAGTTAAACAGATTATTTTTATCTCCTTTTAAAGGATTTTTTTTAAACCTCCAGGGCAGCATTTGTCCTTCAAAATGATGAAAAATAGTTATCATGGCTGAGTATTCCAAGACGGACAACCCAGTGCTTTTGGGGGGTTTCTTGAGGTCTCCAGGTCAGGCAGAAGGATGTTTGCTGAAGTGTATCTGGGTGTCTGCCGTTTAGATCTCATTCTGTCCTCTGCAAATGGGACAACCCAGTGCTTTTGGGGGTTTTCTTGAGGTCTCCAGGTCAGGCAGAAGGATGTTTGCTGAAGTGTATCTGAGTGTCTGCCATTTAGATCTCATTCTGTCCTCTGAAAGTGTAGGTCAGAATCCATCACACTGTAGTATCACTGACTACAGTAGAGTATGTGAGGTATGTATTTGCTCCTGAACTTCAAAGGTGTGAAGCATTAATGTGAAACAAAAGAAGATCTAAAGATGATAGCTGGAGTCAGTTTTTACTAGACAGCTTAAGCTAATGGCCCCCTCTAGAGATAAAGGGCAGTGGTGCAGTAAGTGAGAGAAGCAGGGCTGCTGTAGAGTGAAATATTGTCTGAACCAGAAACTCAGCAGGAGTAGAGTTCCTGGGTTTTTGCCTGGGTTCATGCAAGCTGGAGAACTGCTGCCATGAACATGAGCAGTTTGGTCTCTCTTCTAAGGCAGTGTCACCTATCACCTTGAGAGCTGAACAGGTGCCATCTTAGGCAGAGGCAAGGGACAGCATTTTTGCTGACTGGTGGTGTATTATTTCTAGGCAAAGCGCCGGCTCCTACAGAGTTTTGAATTGCAGTTCGCAGCAGCTAAGCAGTATTAACTGTGCAGTCATAGTAAGCTGTCATGCGAATGCCTCTTCCCTCCTTTTCCCTCTGCAACGTGCTCTACCTTTCATGTGCCTTGCTTGTCAGGGAGACAAGATCGCAGGCAACAGCTGATTGCCACTGGCTGACTGCACAGGGCAGCCAAGAGTCAGCATGTAGATCCTTTCGCGTTCTGATCAGCGGGACAAATGAGGGTTAGCAGCCTTCACCAGCTGTTGCTCTTGGCTGTTATGTGCTGAGCCAGACCAAGGAAACTTGTTGTGCAAAGCATGCTTTGTTTGCTTTTTACCTGCTTAGTACAATGGACTAAAAACTGCATGTCAGGCCGTATCTGGCTGAAGGACTGCAGGTGCTGCAGAGGCACGTTTTGGGCTCTAAGCAGTGCGTCTGCATCTTTTCACCCTTAGAATGTGTGTGGTAGTAACCGAGGTGCTAGAAACTTGTAAAGCGTCACATGATCTCTAAAAAAAGGGTGCCTTGTAAGGGGAAAGTATTAGTCTTAAAAGCCCGAAGCAAGCTTGTGCCAGGTGATGTGGGATATCTGAGACTGAAGACTTGTTTCCCCCGAGACTTGTCCTGGTGGGCTACCAGTGATGCATCCCTGCTGTAGACCGTGAGTCGCTCCACTGCCATTCACACACAAAGGTGAGCTTCAGCCTGGTACTGGAAGTTCTTGTTGAAGCTTGGTGCTTGCCTTGCTGCAGTTGGAAGGTCCCAGCTTAGACCAGAAACCATCCATGGCCTGTCTCTACTGCTTCCTTCTCAGTGGAAGCACTGAAAGTGCTGATGCTTTCCTATTATCGTGAGCCAATTGCTGCACTATTAATGTACAAGACAACTGGAGCCTGTAATACCCTTCCTTTAATGGTGGTGTGTGAGGAGAAGAAACCAGTAACAGTCAAAGCATAATGAACCATGTTTTGAGTTCACTGTGCACTAAGGAATTGCAAACGCTGAAAGGGAGTGTATAAAGCCATAAAGTGTGAAAAAGGTCTGATGCTACAGTGGAATTAATACAAAATTCCACTGAATTTGTAAGTATCTTACAAGAACTGTTTTCACATTACTTTCTAGTGTATTTCAGTATCATTCTCTTTCTAGACGTCTTGCTTTTGATAAAGAAGCGTGCGCCACCTCCGCTCCCCAAAATGGCAGACGTGTCAGCAGAGGAGAAAGTGAGTTTGAAAGACTTCTGGACTTGGCTGTTTTGATTAACTGCTTTATTAATGATAAGTGGAAGGATTACTGTGGTGTACTCTTTGTGCTTGTAGAGGCAAATGCTACCGGTTAAATTCTAGGGAAATTACTTCATATTTCTTCCAAACTTTGAGGAAGCTGATTTTACATTTTTAACTTGGATTGTGAGAACATTTGCCTTAGAATAAGACATGCAGGTACAGTCTGTGGAAGTGGTACAGATTTGATCTTTGAACAAATGTCTAATAACTGTATAAGTATAGTTCAGCAAGTGCCTTGCTTTGTCTCTGTTTGAAAACCCAATAGAAATACGTTGACTTGCTGTCAGGCTGTCTTCTATCTTTAGCTATATGTGGCTTGTCACGCTCTAACCAGGTCTCTAGAGCTGAAGTGTCGGCCCTTTACTATTCTTTATTTTATTTTATTGGAATGTAATTGTTACTGAGGGTCAGTGATGCCCAGGATGATGCTTAAGCATGAGTGGTACCGCAGTTGATGTTATCGCATAAACACTTTGAGCAATGCTTGTGCTTGACATTGTGAATTCCTAGGTCTCTCTACTTCGTCCTTGCACAGCTTTGTTTCTTCTTGCTTCCTGTAGGTATTGGTGTATGTCTCTGTATCCCTTCCTGTAGGTATTGGTGTATGTCTCTCTCTTCAGTATGGTCTTGCTGTGCAGAATGTCACTGTAAGAGCATAAGTTATAAGACTGGGAAATATTTATAGTTTGTACCCTGCTATGTTTTGTCCTGGACTATAAGCATGTACTGAAAATCCAAGGCACTGTATATCTCTGCATGATACTCGCAAGCGGCGAAGCACTTCCAGTGTTAAGCGGTTAAGTGTTAGTCTGTGCACAGCATTGGTACCTCTCGACAAACCATGGGTTTGAAGAGAGTGTGCTATGAGCAGACCGTGCGGAGCAGAATATGGTCCTGGGCACGGAGGCCTCCGAGTTCTCTCCGTGTTTGGTACATCACTTTCCCTCTTTATGCTGGAATTTCCCCGCGTGTTTAGATAACAGAAATAGGTATAAGGACTGAAAGCGGGGCAACCCAACAGGTCCAGTTTTGCTCTATAATTGCAAAATTATACTGGTGCTATTAATCCATTGTATTGCTAGACTCCTGTTTCTCTTAGTTGCAAGTTACAGAGCACTGCTTGATGCCTTGGTGAAGAATATGAAACTGCTCTCTGCTATGCTGTGTTCTCTGTTCTGTGGATAATGGGTTATGAAACCTGATCGTGTTTCCTATCCTTCAGAGGAAACAAGAGCAGAAAGCTCCTGATAAGGATGCTATTCTCAAAGCAACTGCAAATCTGCCCTCTCGCAATGTAGATCGTACTGTGGCCCATCACAACATGAGGGATGTAAGTATCAGACTTGACTTTTTTAACTCGCACGCTAACATCCAAATAGGCTTTTATCTTGTATAACCTTTTCTCTTACATGTGAATGTGATTCTCTTTTCTCTGTAAGAGAAATTCAGATGTATGTAATGTATATTAAAGTAGATAGCTTAAGATTTAGACACAGGTCATACTATTTAGTGATAATAAAACACTGTTCTAAATTACGATTTTAAATGTTTTATTTGTCCATGGGAAAGCCTCAGTAAACATATTCAAGATCTGGCAAATGTGAAGTTAGGGGGTTTTTATTTCTTCAGTCTTAAATAGTTCAGGTGTTGCAGTGGGTTTTTTTTTTCCTCTTCCATGGTTTTGAAAAGAGAAATTAGGCATAAATTTTGACTTCAGTAATTGAATGCTGATGGAGTCTGTAATGCTTCTAACTGTGTCTTCAGCAGTGTGGGGACTACTCTTACCCTTCTGTACTAGCAGGGGTATGAAGCAATCTGCCTACATATTGCGTGCTGTCAGAGTGCCCTAGTAACCGAAAGGGGACAATTGGCATTTAAGCTGTTCAATGGCCAACATGACCTACTGAGCGTGGCGTTTTTAAAAACAAATGTCCAACTGAAAGGAATTTGTGATGCTTCAGTTTAGAAAATAGCTCTGATCTATGTTGTTCAAATTTAGATTACTAGAAAGCAAACGATAGACCAGGAAGGCTCATTGGTTCACAGAAAGCAAGTAGCACTGGTACGGAGCTACTGTGACTGTCTTCTTACAACACTTCTGCAAGGTGGGAATCAAAGTTTTTCTGTGAAGCAATGAGTTTTCTTGAACACTGTACATCTTGTGGTGGTGCTGGGTGGCAAGCTGTGGTAGAAATAAAAGGACTTTTGTGCCCAGTAGCTTTTATTTACATGTAGCACTTCACGGGAAAGACCCAATGCTTCTTGAGAGACTAAACAATGAAAATAAAGCCCTAATAAAGCAAGCTTCTGTACAGGGGGCCAGACTGCTGCTGAGGTACTAACAATAGATGTATTAAGATTTAATGATGTCTGGTAACTTCCTGTCTAAATGTTTTGACAGTTTCCTTTCTTGCAGTTCCAGACAGAGCTCCGGAAGATATTAGTGTCTCTCATAGAAGTTGCACAGAAATTGCTAGCACTGAACCCAGATGCAGTTGAACTGTTTAAGAAGGCAAACGGTATGAACATATCTTTATACTTACTAGTTCAATCCTGGGAACTTGTTTGTTTCCATAGCCCAAGAGAGGGCTTGCAGAGTGAAGTCCAGACCTTAATGTAATGGCAAAGCTACCACAAACTTTGTGGCAAAGATTTCACCTTGTGGGTGTAGGTTGTATAAAACTTGTGAATTTATAAGGTCCCTTTGGGATGGATGAGAAGTTCCATCTAAAAATAAAATCATTAGCAGTGGAAAAAATTGGAAAACTTCACAAGTTGCGCTTTAGGGATGGTAAAGAATAGTTGAAGATGCACAGGGAGATAGTAAAATGAGGAGAAAGTGTAGCTGTTGATTCAGTTTGTGGGAAATGCTTGCCCTTGAGATCTGCAACAACCAGATCCAACTTACTTTCTAGATAAATGATAAATAGATCTTCAGTGAATCTTTTATGTATTTACTGATGTGGAAATACCATGGTAATGTGAGAGTTAGCTGTCTTTCATTTGAGATCTTGAACACATCTGGACAAAGTCTTTGTCCTGGAAGAATCTATCCGAGCCTGACCAAGCTGAGTGCAGCAAATTAAATGATGAGATAGCAAATTCGGGGCAGAAACAAAAGCAGGGATGGAAGAGAAGAATGGGGTTTGAACTTAACACATGCCATTCCATTGAGAAAGGGTTTTATTTTAGCTTGAAGTCAATCTGAACATTGTTTTGTTTGTGTATGTGTAGCCATGCTGGATGAGGATGAGGAAGACAGAGTGGATGAGATAGCTCTGCGACAGCTTACAGAAATGGGGTTTCCAGAAAGCAGAGCTGTCAAAGCCCTTCGATTAAATCAGTAAGTGTACTCGGCACGCTGCCTGTAAATTACTTGATATGGTTAAAAAAAAAAAAAATTGCTTTTTTTTTTAAAGTCTCCTTATGTGGGTCACCTAAAACGAGGTTGGAAAAAGCATTAACTCAAAGAACAGTGCTGCTTCAGGCAGTGCGCAGGTGCAGACGGCACAGGGAAGGGGAGACAGTGCTGTACTTCCTCTGGAAAGAATAGCTGGTGCACTGTTCACAAGGCTGCCGGGCTGGCACTATGTCCAAGTATTAAACTCACATTTTCTTCGGCTTTAGAATTCAGATTTTACAGAGACAAAAGCAAACCTAGCCCATCCACATCGGTCTTTCAGCTGTAGAAAAATACTTTGTGCTGATCTTTTAAAAACATTCCAAGAATATTGTAAAGTCCAGATAGCAACTGTAGGAAAACAGGAGGTAATGTAGTTCTCGTGCCCTAAGAAGAATCAGCTGTACTGCCTCACTCCTGAGAGGGGTTTGTTAGGCCATGCTCAAAAACTTCTAATGATAGAGAATCCACAACATATTCCAGTCACTCTTTTCCAGTATCTCTCCCTTTGGGCTCAGAAAGACTTTCTCCCCCGATGTCCTCCATCTTTCATGTTGTAACTGAAAAGCCAAATAGGCAAAGGCTTTCCTCTCCTTTCTATGAACATGTAATAATTCCCATGTGTCAAATGAAATTACATGTTCAGTTGCCCTATCGTTATCTTTCCTTGCTCTGTATTCGTTGGGAAGAGATGTGTTTGGGGTGCTCTCAAGATCCCTTAGCTCGAGCACTTGCAGCGGATAGCAAGTGACCCTGTTACGATCATGATGTTCCGTTCCCTTGGGCTGGCCTCTCCTTTGAGGCATCACAGATTTCTTCTGAAGTCAGTGGTACATGTCCGAGTGCAAGTGTCTGTGTTGAATTTTGCTCTCGCTCAAGGCGTGTTGTGCACACATAACGTTTTTCACCCTTTCTTTCTTTCTTGTGGTGTAAATGGCATTCCTTGATCACTGGATGGATGTCTGAGATGGATCTCCTTAAGGAGCAACAAAGCAGCTTGCATCTGAGATGTGGTTCTGTGTAAATTTGGAACATGCTTTGTTTGCAGTTTTGTCAACAGTTGCAAATAGTCAGTGTTTGTCTGTTGTGAAATAAAGCAGATGATGTGGAGAATAAGGTGACTCCCTCAGAAATGCCTTTTAAACTCTGGGTTGCAGCTGTCCAAGTTGGTCTTCATTCCTCTGTCTTCCTGGCTTCAGAGAAGATTGTGGTGCCCTGAATGCGCAGAGAATTAAGGTGCTCTGAGATTTGCTCCAAAACTTTATTTATGACTTTTCAGATGCTAATTAACGTGCAAGTCACTATACCGTGGGAATAAACGCAAAGGCAAATGTGTGTGGAACACTGCTGTGCATCTGGAGCATTTCTCATCCTTGTGTTTTAATTTGCTTTTCAGTATGTCAGTGACACAGGCCATGGAGTGGTTGATAGAACACGCAGATGACCCTACAGTGGATGCTCCGCTTCCAGGTCAGACTCCATCAGAAGCCACAGCTGAAGCTGGTGCATCCTCTGCTGAAGCGGCTGCAGGTCCTAGTTCAGAAGCGGGTGGGGAAGAGGCCAAGGATGAGCTGACAGAAATATTCAAGAAGATCCGGAGGAAAAGAGAGTTTCGTCCGGACCCACGAGTGCGTGCTGTTTATCTCACTATTTATGTGACTGTTAGGATTGGAAGGGACTGTGTGGGCACCATGTAATCGAAATAAATGTTTAGTCAATAAATGAAATGGGACATCTCGGTAGATATATATTATGCTGGCTTGACAGTATTTTAGTGGAAGTCTTTAGGGACTGTTTAAATTCAGGTTGCTGAAAGAGATATTACCTAATTACTTCATCGCTGTCTCAGATAACAGTATCTAAATCACTGACACTGCTACTTCTGCACCTGAAAATTAACTGATGGGACTGAAATGAGCTGCCAGACTCCTGGCAATGCTTTTTATGACTGCTGTCAGGGAAGGAAGGGTTGCAGGACAGGAGTAGGTCCTTTTGCTGTAGAAAGGGACAGAAGAGCATTATTGTATTCAGGAGGCAAGGAAAAATATCACCAGCAGATTTGTCTTGCAGCAAAGTTAGCCTTTTTTCAGAGCACAGTATTAGCTGAAGTGAAACTGTGTTGTTACCACACTGTAAACTCACCAGGAGGTGCTCTTTAGAATCCAACACACTGCTTTTACAGCAAGCTGTTTCTTGTGATTTTGGTCAAAGGCTGCAAATGTATTTGATGACCTGGGTACAATTTCTAAATGATTAAACATTCTCGTAACAATATCTAGGTACGCTTGTCTAAATACATAATGCTCACTATCAATATAATAATCCAGGAAGTAAAATTAAATTGAGTGACTAGAACTACAAATGAACGTGGAGCTCGACCTGTCAGTGAGATGTTAACAAGAGCTTTGTGACATGAGAAGTTCTAAAATAAGGTGTTTCTGTCCTGCTCTTCTCCTTTCTACCCCAGGTACGCTTGCTCTTTGCCTTGCCTTCAGCTTTCAGGGCTGAGGATAGGAGCTACCTTTGCTCTTAAGATTTATTCTTCCATAATAAGGGCACTTTTGATACAGAGTATTTGAAAACTTTGTAGATAAGATTACTTAGTGGTCCATAAATGGAAACAATGGGGATTTTTACCCCACAAAAAGCTCCTGCACAGAAGGTGGAAAAGGATGTGCTTGTTCTCATTTCCGTTTTAAATGTTACGTTTATTGAGCTGTGCAAATCTGATACAGGCTGTCATTGCCCTGATGGAGATGGGATTTGATGAAAAAGAAGTGGTAGATGCACTCAGAGTAAACAACAACCAGCAAAACGCAGCCGTGAGTACAATGTCATTTCTGTTCCTTACTGCTATAATAGTCCGCTCAACTGATTCTTTTCATCCTTGAATTGGTTGATGTTTTGATCTATCATAAAGCCCAACTCTTACTGGAGATGAAATGAGCACTATATATTCTGTGCCTCTTTCAAATTAGATACGCAGCTAGAATACAAATGTTTTAGGCTTCTTAGAGGATCTCAGTATGCGTGAGGTTGAGGCTGATCTGGTTGGGATAGCACGTGGATTTTCAAAAAGCTGTTGAGAAACTCCTTCGCCAGAGTCTGCAAAAGAAATTATGCTATCATGAGAAGGGAAAAGGTATTCCCAATAATTAATAACTGATTAAAGGACAAGAATAAATGATCAAGCAAGAGATTCAAGCCATGCAGTCTGTAAATTACCATTCTGCAGCAATGCATTCCACAGTTTATGGAATCAAAAAATACAACGGTTTTCAAAGATTGATTAGTCCCCTGCTAGTGGATGATATGCTAAGGAAAATTATGTGGACACAGCTGACAGCCAAGGAATCTTCTCTTCTTAAGCATCCAGCGCTGGCTACTGTTAGAGGATATTGGGCTGGATGGTACTTCAGGCTGACGCTTTGTAACCATGTTGATGGGGTTCCTTTGAGGCAGCACATTAAGTAAGATAACACACATCTTCCCTGAGCTTTGAAACATCCAAAGTTGGTATAATTTTATTACCATACCAGGCACTGCTGCTGATCCCGTTGAAATAAAGGTGTGGGAGCAGTACACAAATGAATAGTAATCTAGTGAGAAAAGAAATGTATAGCTCGGTCTCTAACCATGACAGGAAAAAATATTTTTAACGTGCCACATTGTCGAAACTTTTGGCGTTTTCATTCTAACGGAACCAGTCATGAAATCTGTTGTGCCTGGTGATTTCTTGCAGTGTGAATGGCTGCTGGGAGACAGAAAGCCTTCTCCAGAGGACTTAGATAAGGGAATTGACACCAATAGCCCTCTCTTTCAAGCCATCTTAGAAAACCCAGTGGTACAGTTAGGGCTAACCAACCCTAAAACTCTACTAGGTAAGTCCTGCTTGGGTTCCTGATATTTATACGCTGTTTCTGTAGTTGCTAGCAAATAAGAGTAGAGACTGGATGATGCCAGCACGCTTTGTGGGCTAGGTGCAGCTCTGTACCCTCTTCCTCACTTTCAGCAGCTGTATTGTTTGTTTGCTTCATACTGCAACTCAGCTAAACCCAGAACAGAACTTGCGGCTGTCCCAGAAATGATACTAATTCGCCAGGCTACTGGATTACACTTGCTGAACTCAGAACTTTAATAGCTGCTGGCTGCAATGCTTTTGTGGGTTTAGGAGACCTTTTGTGTGCTCCCTTTGGCCACGAGGGGAAAAATCAGGAATGTCTGTCTAGAACTCTGATTATTTCACAGAAAAAACAAGGCTGTCTCCTGCTTTACAGCTTACTGTGTGCTGAGGCCTCATCACTGAGACAGAAGATAACTTGTGGAAAAGCAACCAAACAAGAAATCTGAGCTAAGGCCTTGCCTATCAAAGTTGAGATAACGTATGTGAAAACACACTTCCCCTTGCTTGGGTTTCGGCTCCGTGGTAAAGTCTGTGTGCTCACGGTCGGAAAGGCTGTGAGCACAGCGAGTACCCAGCTGATGAGCCTGACAGTGACACATAAATCTGATGAATTGGTCTCTCTGACGCTGGAGGACGATACAGAAGAATGACATTGGCTCTGTGATGTATATAAAAGTTCTGCTTTTAGTCTTTGGCTTCAAAATTTACTTGAAGCTGTGCTTTTAAATAAAGGGTGTATGCGCAGCTCTTCCAAGAGAGCTTTTAAAAATACTACTTTAAATACAATTAGGAGAGTTTGCAAGCCTTCAAATAATTTGAGAGCAGAACCTTCCCATCCTGACTTCTGAACAAATGGTCTCTTCATTTCCAACAAGGGTTCCACACTGCAGCTCAGAATATAAATAGAAAATGAAATGCTGTTATATGCACTCGTAAAGCTTGGATGAACATCAGAGAATATATTCCTAATGATACATCTGCAAGCTGCTTATGTCACAGGTTTTAATAATGAATGTTTGCATTTAATTAGATGCTTACAGAATGTTGATAAATCTTTAGTTTTAAGCTCTTGAGTCTGTGTAAAAGAACATAGTTAAAGTGGTGAAAGGTGAGATCTGTACTTTATTCTGGGCTTTTCTGTAGGCATGCTTGCGTGACCTTGAGCAAGGTATTAATGATGAGCCCTTCAGAGGTGCTGGGTACTTACAGCTCCCACTAATGTCAGCTGGAGCTTTGTACACTAACGCTCCTGGGAAAATTAAGACCCTGACCTTGGTGCCAGTCTGCCAGACTCTTACAACACTGACATTTTGGTGACTTCTGAATAGGTCAGATATGCAACTGCTTTTTTTTTTTGTCCTGTTCCATAATGACTGCTCCAAATGTCCAGTAGTCCAGCTCAGTGTCTGTCATAAGGCTTATAAATTATTTCCTGGACCACTCTTCTGCCAAGTTGGCAGCTTAGCTCTTGCAGTAGCTGTCTAGTTCCTTCAACATAAGAGTGAAAATTAGCACATTTTAAAAACCAAAACAACAAAGCTTATTGTAAAGACAGCTGTGTATAGAAAGACAAAACTGCTCTTAGTATTTGGATCGTTGTCGCTGTTCAGAAATGGAGGTAATCTTTCTGCACAGACAGCCTTTCCCCTTCTGCCTGTGTCTAGGCAGGTGGAACCGGCTGCCTCCCTGACATCCTCCACTCTCCAGACACCGGGAAGGAGAAAGCCCATGCTGCTCAGAGGGAAGATGCTGCTTCCCTTCTGGCTCCAGGGGCCTCTATGAAAAGATAGAGCTCAGAGATACGGGGGCTCAAGGGGCTACACTTTTGCTGGCTCTGCTGCTTATTCCTGGGTGGCCTTTGGCATACCTGCTTCTTATTTTGCTGGCTTAGTTTCCTCTTCAGAGATGTTACGAGGGAGTAGCCATAGGACAGCCAAAGTGCAGCGTCGGAAAGCAGAGGTAACGGAGGCAAGGGGGTGACAGTGCTTCCTATGAACTGTCCTGGTTAGGCACCAGAGGGGGAAAAGATACTGGTGCAAGAACTGGCCATTAAGAAATCTAGGCTGGGATGTGGAAAATCTTTGATCAGAGGAGTGGAGTTGCAAAAGAGTCTTCCCATAGGAGTATTGGCAGCAAATGACCCAGTTCTAAGATGGGCTTTCATAAATGGATGATTTGCATAGCATGTTCCCTGCTACTGCACGTAGACGTTTGCTAAGGCTTTAGCTCTTCAAACCCGTGCCCTTGAGGTTTTGTAAGACGGACTATAATCCAGGCTGAGTATTTAATCAGTCTCTGTCTGCAGTGACTTTAATGCTGAGGAATGGGGAAGGCGTAACAGCCTGTAGCATCCCAGGCCGTGGAGATTTGGGAGTGCAAATGGTAAATGCGTGATGTGTATTCCCACCATTTTTGGGTGCTGCTTGCCCGCTGCCTTTGAGTTGTAGCTATTTCTGACTGTCCTGTTGCTGAAGCATCCCAACCATCGGAGCCTTTGCTGACTAAAGGACTAATCGAGTGTTGCAATTTCCATCTCTTGGCAGCCTTCGAGGATATGCTTGAAAACCCCTTGAACAGCACTCAGTGGATGAACGATCCGGAAACTGGGCCTGTCATGCTACAGATCTCTCGAATCTTCCAGACACTGAATCGCACGTAGAGGGGAACGCCAGTCCACTGTGCCACTTCCTCCTGTCCCTCGCTTCGCCTTCCCTTCAACAGGAGGGTGCACGGATTGTTTGGGGAGGGGGGCGGATGGAAGCGGGGGGGAGATCCTGTCTGAATGGGTCTCTCGCACGAGAGCTTATGTAGTTATGGCCAACTGAAGTTAATTGCCTTGTGGATTTAGTGTTAGTGGAAGAGGTTTGAAGACTTGTTTATGTTTTCAGGTATTAGGCTTAAAATAAAGTATATCAAAAAATAGGAAAAGGTTTTGTGAAAACAATTAAGATTCTGATTGTTGGAAAGAAATATGATAATGCTTGTTAAAAAGGCCTGTGACAGTAGTTTTCTAGCCAGTTTTGCTAGCATCTGGCTAGTGTTTACAAAAGGTCACTGACCACTAGCATAGGATATTAATCATCTCCATACAGTATTAATTTATGGCTATATCAAATTATAAAATGCTTTTTAAAATTGATTCTTAGGAAATGTTTTTTAAAAGTCCAAATATTGGGAGAGCAAGCACATTTCTATCCAAACGTGTTTATCTTGCATTATAATTTAAACAGAATAATTCAGAGATGGAATTCTTTTAATAAATAGCATTACTTTTTCCTATTTATTTTCTGCGTTAGTGTTGTTGCAGTCCCGCAGTGGTTATACTCGTAGGAGATTCTCTGTCAGCTACGTTAAAGATGCAGTATCTCTTTCACGACAGAACTCGCTACACCAAGACTTGGATTCTCAAGTAGGCTGCGGTTCCTAAGTTCATGCTCTGCCATATACTAGTGCAAGGAGGGATGTGTTCACGTAGTGGGGTTTTTTCCATTTTTATGTGCACGGTTTTGGAAAGGGAGACCTGTGGGTTTTGACTTTGTTTCAAACTGTTTACAACAAAGCAACTCACCTGCATGGTTTTTCATTGGTGATCTGTAAAGAAGCAGAACCGCTTAAGTTTTTATCTTGTTTAATGTATTTAAAAGCACGCTTGAAATTATTATCTTCTTTGAGATAGAAGTGGTTTTTCTTGACGCTTATTTTTACCTTGGAAATACCAAAAATGTCAGGCTGTGTCTTTCCTATCTTGCTAGAAGACTGACTTGAGATTTCAGACAGGAGTTGTGAGCTTTTAAGAACAGAACTCCCTGGCGAATATCCAGCTAGTTTTTGTTAAGATTGGGCTCTGCAGGTGTTACTTCTTTAACAGTCTGAACAAAAATGGGTTTTGTTTTCAAGTTAGTGAAACATGATTGACATCTGTCATAATCCCTGCCATGTCTTGCGTTTCACAGCCTTTTTTTGGAAAGGCAGGCTAGGCAAGACCTGCCTCTCCAAAATGCGGAGTAACCAGATGGAGACCCTGTCCTTAAATAGCACAAAGGTGTCCTGTCAAATAGGGAGATCCTGAAGAGCTCTGCAAGTCACCTTTTTGTGTCGGGGGTTTTTTTTGTGTGTGGTTGGGTTTATTAAACAAAAATGCAACAAGATGCAACCCGAAACCCTACAACAAGTTTTGGCCTGAACTTGGCATCTGATCTATGCTGTTATGCAGTCAAGGCACTGAAGTTGCCAATTTCACATGATTAATATGAAGGGTGGGGAAATCAAAACAGCATGAGATTTTATCTTGACTTACTATCCCAGGATTTTTTTTTGTTATTTGTAAGTTCATATTAAGCTTTACAGTTCATGACTGCTGAAATATTTACTTCTACGTTTAGAAATTCCAAGCTTTATAGAGATGCTTCTTCTGTTCAAATTGGACGGTAAAACCATGTTTCTGGAGTCTTGCTAAGAACAGATTGACAGCATGACATTAAATTGTAACCCTGTCCTATGACTGTAAAAGCTAGGAACCTGATCCTGCCGCCCAGTGAGTTCAGCACAACTACTCATGAGTAGCTGTGACTGAATGTTGTAGTGTTATGAAAGGTTTTGATTATTTTGTCCATTTTTTTTTTCTTACTCCCTGAAGCTTTTTGCCTGTAATACTACCAGAGGACACTATTACTTGAAGCTCTTAACGTTTAGAGGTACATGTCCTTCTCTGCCAGTCAGGATTCTTGTAAATGTTCCTTTTAATGAGTGTTTTTAGAAGACAAAGCTGGGAAAAACTACCCTGTAGTTGGATGGGCTTTTTTTGGCTTCTGAATGAATACGTACAGGTTCAGACTCAACAAACAGATACTTCGGTAGCGGTCTTGGTCTTTGCAGAATGTAAAGGCTCGTTAAAATGCTTCTTTTGATTTCAGTTATACGCGATCAGACTCTGGAGTGGCTGTAGAGCTTCCAGACAGACCGGGCAAGGATCATCCGTCTCAAACTTTAGAGTCATCTAAAAGTTTGGCATCTGGTTTGCTGGCAGAACCTAGGGGACTCGCCGTATGGCGAGAGCGAGCAACCCATCTTGCCTGTACTGGCGTGGGAGGAGCTGCCCCCAGGACTGTCTGTTGCTGCTGCCAGGGCAATGTGGGTGAGGAACTTGAACCAGCTCCCCAGCTTTTAGGGGCCTGAAGCTGGGTCCGTTCCTGATACGCTGTGTCTGACCTGCTTCGGAGGAGCGGAGTCATGCACTTCTAAGGGTGAAGGTTCTGCTGCTTGTGTATCTCTGCGTCGGCCCCACAACGACAGGATCCGTGTGATACTGCCAGTGATAGCAGCACTGTGATACTGCTGCTGAACTGTGCATGTTCTTCAGCGTCAGTTTGATCAGGGTGATAACTCTTACCAGAGCTGCCTCCCTTGGTATGCCAGGACAGGAGCAGTGCCGCCGAACCTTTTATAAAGTGAGGAAAAAGGCAGCGGTAAAACAAGTCATGCTTGTGTAGTAGAAGAAGGTAAGAATGCACAGGTTCGACAACACAACCTAATGTTGCAGCAACAGTTAGAGACCTGAGGGATAAAGGAATACTGCATCTTTAAAATGCTTGAAGGCTTGAGAATACGTGGTTATTTCTGGATTTTGTTATTCCAGAGCTCAACACTTACACAGCTGAAGTGTTGGAGACTGTGTTCTTCCCGATCTGCCAAACACTCTTCTTGCTTGGTATGGCTTTAACATAGTCCTGCTCGTCTTTCGAGAACTTAAGTTGCCAGTGGCCAATAGCCGAAAGAGGCCAGAACTTAGGAGGTGTGATGTTTGCAGCAAGGCATAGGAGTTGATTTTAAAACAAACAAAAACTACCCTTGAGGTTGAACAAACGCTTGAGGAATTGATCAAGACGTCAGTGTTGTTGTTAGGGTATGAATGAGTAGCAGACTAGGGAGCTGTGGGCCCCCGTCACACCTGGGTGTATTGCTACTTCATCACAGTAAATGGAGGGGGGAGTTAAGTCCGCTGTGCCTGCAAAGGCATTGATTATCCCAGTTTTTACAAAACCTGCCACAAACTGAAAGATTGCTGCTGTTGAGTCAGTGTGCTGAGTCAGACGGGTCTCCAGGCACAAGGAGTGCGTGTGGTAAGAGCTTTGCCTGGTGATAAACTGTCCTGTTCCGTGGCTGAAGGGCAGAGGACTGGTGGATCTGGTCGGTAGAGCAGTGAGAGGTCCCTAAGCGCACGGGAATAGAAGTTGTTGTTTTAAAAAAAAAAAAAAAGGAAGTTTTTGTGAGGAAGAACTACTCACAGGAGTAAGGATTTACAGGTTCAAGTCCTGTGCTTGCGTCTCTGGTGTTCAAGTTATAAATATGATGTGTCTTTGTTAGTTCAGTGTCTCATAACATGGTCAAGGGAATACTTGGAAGCCTGTGAAGTCAAGGAGAAGTAAGGAAATGGGGAGGTAGGTGGCTCATACAGTGCAGTGACTGTTTCTCACAGTTCTAGCTCTTTGCCCCATCAGTTGATACAGACAATCTTCTACCTTTTGATATTACATGCCTCTTGAAAGCTAGCTAGCTATTTATTTACATATATATAACATAATTTTGTCATCAAAACACTGATATTTTTAATAGAAATGTACTATATGGAAGTTTGTTCTCAGGGCTTCGTATTTATACTCTCTTTGTAGGGGATGCATTTAAAGGGATGTATTTGGAAAAAATGCCAGTGGCCGCTTTACAACTTGGACCTTGATTGTCTTGACCTGTGAGGCCGAGCTAGTGTAACTCTCCTAATAAACCTCTAGCGTCTGGTCCAGTCCAAAGAATCTGCCAGTCTTTCTCTCCTTGAGAGCAGCGACATGAGTCTGCCGTTCAGGACTGCTGCATCGCTCTGGAAGTGGTCACACAAGATTACCCAGCTGCTTCACAGTTTGCTGATCTTTACACCGTTTCAAGGACGCTTCTGTTCTCCATGCAGCTGGAAAATTAACTTGCACGGTTTCTAAAGCAGCCGTCAGTGCACTCCTGCTCTGGAAGTGGTCACACAAGATTACCCAGCTGCTTCACAGTTTGCTGATCTTTACACCGTTTCAAGGACGCTTCTGTTCTCCATGCAGCTGGAAAATTAACTTGCACGGTTTCTAAAGCAGCCGTCAGTGCACTCCTGCTCTTCTGGGACGGCGCGAGGTTCGCTCCTGCAAGAGCTCTGAAACCTCCAGCTAATTGCTTCTCTTTGGCCGCTCGCAGCCTCTGTCACAGGCGTGTCCCAGAACCTTGACCCCTATTTCTTTCCTCACTCTCCTGGAACCAAATTTGTCTTTTGGAGATTGATCTTCATATCCAAGAAACAGTTAAGTGGTTATTGAAATCCTTTTTAGTTGGGACTGTTACGATTTTTTTTTTTTAGGCATTGTGATTCATGGGCTGAGGATCTTTTAATATATTTTGAAAGCTGTTTAAATAAGCATTGCACCAAGCGAATGTACGGTAACGCTGTCAGCAAATACTGCCTGTCGAAGAGGCACAGAGGTTACCGGTGACCTCTGCTTCAGTGGCAATTTTACGACAGTAGTGCGCACAGGACAGTGTTTCTTCCAAAGTAAATACCCCGGTTTTCTACTTTTAATAAATAGCGTTTTTATTAACTAGCGGCGCTTGCAGCTGGGTATTTCCATCCGATCGTAAGTCCTTGTGCTTTGGGGCATAAGCAAACCCCTGACTGTATCCTCCTCTCTGGGCCGATTCATTCTTCCGAAGGATTCGTGTTGGCCGCTGTTGGAGGTAGGACAGTCGGTGAGCTCGGCCAGGGTGGCAATCCCCACGTTCCTGCAGAGGAAACGGCGAGCGGTGTGTATTATGTCTACGTGAACGTGCTATCATGGTGGTTGTTCTCAGCTCCATCCTGACATCTAGGTATAACGAAAGGGGGGTTTTTTTAAGGACCTCTTGCCCTAGATTTGAAGATCTTCATCGCAGATCCTGTTTGCAGCATGTGAACTTCAATAAATGTAAATGCATTAAATTCTTACTGAATTTGGGTATAGTTTTATATCATGCTTTGGGGAGAGGGAAGAAATTGGATCACGTTTTAAACTAAGCCCCGCAAAACAACGTGTCTTTGTTGCAGCAGGTAGCGGGCCTGTAGAGATTTTTAATTTGCATATTTTTATCATAGTTTAATGAACTGTATGAGAATGTGATTTGCTATCCAGCACTTACCACAAGGCAGCACCAGTAAAATTATATCGCAAGGTACTGACTTAACATTTTTCACTTCACCTGTGTATAAAATAATTAGGTACAGCGTAAGATAACTTTTATATGGCACTGACACTGATGCGTGGCGTGCACGGCTGTTTCGAAGACGTAATGTTACTTTTACGAAGCTTAACTAGGGCGGACGTCACTGAGCCTGTGGAATTCAGGGTTCGTTCTGGACACGCTCGCGTGGGTCGCCGACCTCTCCCTGGGCGGGAAAACCAGCAGGCTTTGCTTCCCTGCAGTAGCCCTCTAGGCAAAAAAAGCAAGAAACATTGCTAATTTGTTATCCGTTTAAGCAGTCGCTGTTGTCTCCTGAGATAATTCCTGGAAGTTACCGAGGTCGTTAGCAAAGCCAGACCTGTTCAGACTGAAACGGTTGCGTACCTTTAGCGTGTGGAGAAGCCGTACCCACGAGCGAGACTAGAATGAATGCTGAGTCTTTAAACCTGCTCGCACATACACACTGAAGACGCTGATGTTGTGTGTGTTGTAAATTTATAATATATCTTAAAAATAAAGTTTTTTGATTTATTACGAGGTGTTCTGAAACATCATTTTCAGGCAGCAGAGGTTTATGACATCATTCAGTGTCACTGTCTAGACCGTGCTTTTGCCAGGAAAGGTGGTGATCCTTGAGGTCCCTCCCAACCTGGTGTTCTATGACTCTCTGAACGTTCCTGGTACCTGCGGCCTGCCAGAATTGCTGCTCAGAAAATAAGATATTTTGACAGTTGGTCAGCAAACCGATAACAAAATTTGGGCAGAAAATCCTGGTTCAGTAGCTGGTTTTGCACCTGGAAGCTGTTTCTCCATTTTCCAGGAAAAGCTGCGTTGGCAAGAACTAGGTGAAACAAGATCTGGCGATGGCCTGTGATGGGCTGATGCCATTTAAGAGGGGTTTATCCTGGCGGCGGCTGACCGGTACATTGGAAGCCCTTTCTCCCACGACAGGGGAACCCTCATTGAGGAAGAGAGCTCGAGCACGTAGCAGCTGGCGCTGTGGTGGGATGCAGCTACTTGCACGTGACGAAACCAAAATGCCCCTCTCCCTTAGGCAGTGCCAGTGCTGCTGCCGGCTCCTTGGCCAAGCCGTGCCCGTGTGTGTGCGGTTGCCTTGGAGGCAGCTGGTTAAGAGTGTAAACGTGTGAGGAGATTTCTCTCAAAAATAGGTGGGGTCATCAGCATTTTCACACAGCGTTCAGGGCAAGGAAGAGCGCCTGCCAGCAGCCTGTTGATTTAGCACGTGTTACAGCAGCTGGTGAGGAGTTCAGAGCAATCTTCATTGCATCCCGTGAAAGATGGAGGATTAGCGTATGAGACATCTAAATGCTTGCTGTTCAGTGCAGGGTTTTAAACGTGGTGTTATTAAACGCAGGTATTCTCTTGGTGCCAGGTGGCCCCTAACTCAGGTTTCCTTTAACGCACAGATGAGCAGTGGGCTGCAGGACAGTTCAAAGGTCCAGCTCTCCAGTAATTTGAAATTCAAACCAAAAAAAAAACCCTTAAAGCAGCTCGTGGTGTACCATTAGCTAATGGTACTTCTGAACCTAAACTGGTGCAGCAGGTCTGGGGAGAAATCCACGCCTTAAAAATTAAAAAGTGCTGCTGTCTGGGTGACAAGATGGGTTGTAACTGGCGTAGCGTTGGTCGGCTCTCGAGATGAGAAGTGCTCTTTCAGCACGGAGATGCGTTGCTGCCGTTCCTCGGCAGCGATAAGGAGAGAGGCTCGCCGCTGCTTCGGCCCGGGAGCTACCTCCAGCCTCCATCGGAGCCGAAGTCTGCGCTAGAAAGGGTGGGGAAGGTAAGTACAGGTTGCACTCGGCTGTGAAAATGCAGCTTGGTGTTGGCGAGGTGCGTTACTAACGCCACAAATGGTGTGGCGAGGGAGTCTTTCCCATTCCCTCAACGGGTGGTTCACCGCAGCCTCCCCCAGCAAGCTCTGCGGGGGTCGGGCTTTCTCCTTCCACGTGCTCGCTCTTCTCCCGTGAATCGGTGGTCACCAGTCGCACTAACCCATAAAAAGGGGGTAGGATATTGTACAATTACCTGGCCGGCTCCTCTAACGCGTCTGCCTGGAGCGGGTTCCAGCGGAAGCAGCAGGACGCGGCGGATGCTGTCCCTGGGAGCTCCTGCACCCTGGCAGCCCGGCGCGCCCGGATCAAGGCTGCAGTCCCCTCTGTGACAATCCAGCCACTTGCTCTGTGCTTGAGCGTGCTGGGTTTTTTTCTTTTTAAAATGGTGATTTTACTATAAGAGAGGAATTGGCCAAAGGAAGCAGCAGCTCTGGAAGCTGCTGGGGACGCTTTGCTATAGGGGAAAAGCGGGTTTGGGGCAGAATTAATGGGGCAAATTCTGTTCTCTCGCTACCCAAAAGCCTTCACTTCAAACGCGAGACTTGCACTCGTGAGCTGGACCATCGCTCCGGTGGTTTGGTCCCGGGAAATGGCTTGAAAGCGAGCAGGTCTGTAGCGTGCATGTGCGAACAGCGTTGGTACGACTGCCAGTGAGCGTGACCTGAGCAGGGACTGCAGTGCCCGAGCCCCGTGTATCCAGTGTCACCAGGAATCCGGTCCCTGGTGGAGCTGGGGGAGGGACGTCAGTAACTCGAGCTGTGCTGGACCAGACCACGGCGGACCAAAATAAACCTGGAGAACTGACCAGCTCTCTCAAACCCAAGGGTGTAAATGAGTTGCCTGGCTGAGGAGCTGGTGCCCAAAGAAAAGGCCTGAGTTCAGAGCCTGCGAGTGCCCGGGGCTCCTGGGGAGTCACCGGTGGCTCTGGGCGCTGGACTCCAGCAGCACAGCCGCTGCCTCGCCTGTGCCGGGTGCTTGGCTGCGGGCGGTTAATGCAGCAGCCGGTAGGATGCAAACCCGGCGTCTTGGGGTCCTGCACAGATCCTGCACCCCGGGATGCAGTACTGCTGCTTCCCCAGGGCTGTCATAGGCAAGAGTTGCAGTTCTCAAACAGGTTTCATTAACGATGCCATCAGCAGTTGCATAAT